CTGAGTGGACAGACGGGAGAGTTTGCATTCAACATCCACCTGTGTATGAGTGTTTGCTTGGAGCAATGGCTTAGCACATTCAGCATATTTTTGCATTAGAACCGCAAAATAATGAAACGTCTGCCTTTAACGCTCGTTTCTACGAGATCCTGAAAGTCTTCGGACCAACAAACTGTTCCAGACGATTTGTTTCACAAACATAAACTGCCATCAGTTTGCTCTGTGATGTCTTTCTTTGTCTCGCTGCCAAAACATAACAGAATTGGTTGAAAATGACTGTCGGATATGTTTCTCCAAACATTGGCAGACAACCACAGTCTCATTCCATTGTCGAACGCTAATATTATTACCTGGCACGAATACATTATGCAAAACACAAAAATGAGTGTGCTCTAAAAATAAACGTGTGAAACAGTTGAAAGAGAAGACGCCGCCTCGGAGCGCAGCCTCCGGAACAGAGCCATGTCGAGCTAAACACAATGTAAGGCCTGTGGGAGTTTCACATCAGTGTACACGACCGTTCACACTCACATGCAAACAAGGAAATACTGCATGTTCTGGTCTATTACATGTGCACTTGTAGACTACTTCAAATATTAAAAGTACACTGTATATATATATATATATATATATATATATTAAATTAAAGATTTACTTTAAAGCACATTTTAAATCATTATGTTTCAATTATATTTCGTCATGCTTTATAGAAGTTGACTACTAAGCACATTATTTGATTTTACCTTTTACATTTTAAGTTCATATATTTTTAATGCTGTAAACTTGATTTAAATATATGACATACAAGTTTTAAAACATAATTTTGACAAAAATTAAACAGTGGGTCTCATTCACTAATAATTGCGTGGATTATTTTGTATTTGTACGCACGCAAGAAAAGCTTCGGAAAAATCTTCGCCTAATTCACAACACATGAATTTGTTCTTAACCTCATTCTGATCTTAGTGAATTTGGAGTATTATAAAATGAGTGGCCGTGTGTACGGGGTCAGTCATTTTGCATAAACACACCCACACATCTCCATATAAGGGTTTCCAAACAACGTCATTAATTTGCATAAACACGCCCACATATCTCCATATAAGGGTTTTCCTCATGAGCTCAGACAGTCATTTGCATAAACACACCCACATATCTCCATATAAGGGTTTTCCTCATGAGCTCAGACAGTCATTTGCATAAACACACCCACATATCTCCATATAAGGGTTTTCCTCATGAGCTCAGGCAGTCATTTGCATAAACACACCCACACATCTCCATATAAGGGCTTTCCTCATGAGCTCAGACAGTCATTTGCATAAACACACCCACACATCTCCATATAAGGGTTTTCCTCACAAAGTCACTCATTTGCATAAACATGCCCACACATCTCCATATATGGGCTTTCCCCATGAGCTCAGACGGTCATTTGCATAAACACACCCACACATCTCCATATAAGGGCTTTCCTCATGAGCTCAGACGGTCATTTGCATAAACACACCCACACATCTCCGTATAAGGGCTTTCCTCACAAGGCCAGTCATTTGCCTAAACATGCCCATACATCTCCATATAAGGGATTTCCTCATTAACTCAGACAGTCATTTGCATAAACACACCCACACATCTCCATATAAGGGCTTTCCTCATGAGCCTAGACAGTCATTTGCATAAACGCGCCTACGCATCTCCATATATGGGCTTTCCTCATTAACTCAGGCAGTCATTTGCATAAACACGCCCACACATCTCCATATAAGGGCTTTCCTCATTAACTCAGGCAGTCATTTGCATAAACACGCCCACACATCTCCATATAAGGGCTTTCCTCATGAGCTGAGACAGTCATTTGCATAAACGCGCCTACGCATCTCCATATATGGGCTTTTGCATTAACATGCCCACACATCTCTATATAAGGGATTTCCTCATTAACTCAGACAGTCATTTGCATAAACACACCCACACATCTCCATATAAGGGCTTTCCTCATTAACTCAGACAGTCATTTGCATAAACACACCCACACATCTCCATATAAGGGCTTTCCTCATGAGCTCAGACAGTCATTTGCATAAACGCGCCTACGCATCTCCATATATGGGCTTTCCCCACAATGTCAGTCATTTGCATAAACACACCCACACATCTCCATATAAGGGCTTTCCTCATGAGCTCAGACAGTCATTTGCATAAACGCGCCTACGCATCTCCATATATGGGCTTTTGCATTAACATGCCCACACATCTCTATATAAGGGATTTCCTCATTAACTCAGACAGTCATTTGCATAAACACACCCACACATCTCTATATAAGGGAGTTCCTCATTAACTCAGGCATTCATTTGCATAAACACACCCACACATCTCCATATAAGGGCTTTCCTCATTAACTCAGGCAGTCATTTGCATAAACACGCCCACACATCTCCATACAAGGGCTTTCCTCATGAGCTCAGACAGTCATTTGCATAAACGCGCTCAGACAGTCATTTGCATAAACGCGCCTACGCATCTCCATATATGGGCTTTCCTCACAATGTCAGTCATTTGCATAAACACACCCACACATCTCCATATAAGGGCTTTCCTCATGAGCTGAGACAGTCATTTGCATAAACGCGTCTATGCATCTCCATACATGGGCTTTCCTCACAATGTCAGTCATTTGCATAAACACATCCACACATCTCCATATAAGGGCTTTCCTCATTAACTCAGGCAGGCATTTGCATAAACACGCCCACACATCTCCATACAAGGGCTTTCCTCATGAGCTCAGACAGTCATTTGCATAATAACACCCACAAATCTCCATATAAGGGCTTTTCTCACAAGATCAGTCATTTGCATAAACACGCCACGCCCAACATGTTTGTATATTAAGTTTCACAGCAAGTGACAAGAACAAAGCTAATTAAGTTAAGAGGTTAATAGGAATAGTCTGTGATGGTTAATGGATAAGTAGATCCGGTGTGCTTGGGCCTCTATTGTGCCAGTGTGCTGCAGTGCAGTCAGAAATACATCCCTGCAGACTGAAATACTGATATAACAGCACAACTATCATTACGGCATCTACGGCTATTGATCCAAACTCCAGCTCGCTGCGTATGACATTTATGGCCGTCTTGATGCTGAGTCCACTCGTGAGTTTGCCTGTAAATGCTGCATTGTGTGAGATGTCTGGGCAAGAGAAGTAAAAGCATCTTCGCTGTGTCCTGAAGCTCTACTATAAGCTTTTAAGAGTGATAAGGCAATGACCCGCTGACATGGGCCTCTTAAATAAAGCCATCAGCTGTACTCTCCTGCCTCTGGATCTGTGGGGCAGATTATTCTACCCAACAATAACACTCACACAAAAGCAAAGGCGCTGCGACTCGGCTTTCTGTCCTCTACAGTGAGCAGCCTGGGGCCAGATGCTGCGCTAATGCACCGGCCTTCATCAGCAGACCACACTCTTCCTCGAGGCTTAAGGAACCGATCACACGCACACACACACGAGTGCTGCGTTAGCTTCACTCGACCTGTCTCGGTCAATAACACATAACCAGGGCAGGATCTGCAGGACGGATGTTAAAGTGTCCCTGTTGTCAATCATTTTATCCCTAAAACTCATCTTTGATCACCAAAATGATAAACGTTTTTTCTTTAAAAAAAAAAAAAAATTATTCATGCCTTAAAATATCTTGAATGTAACTCGACACCCTTGCCTCATTCAGTATGCGTGGTTCTATGAATATGCAGATGAGCCCCACCTCCACTCACTCACTCACTCAGAGATCCACTGGTTGACGATCTGATTGGTTACAAGGTGGTTTGTGACGTCAGAAACACCAGCAGTTTTTGAGACTGTCTTTGGTTCACTGCAGTTTTAAGGAGGAAATACTCCTGTCCACTTATGAACTTACACATGGTGTGTGTTAAAGCGGATTAAAAACACCACACACACACATAAACAACATTAAAAGCTGGATTTCTCCACAGGGGGACTTTAAGCAGAGCTAAGCAGTCCAATAAGATCCTACTGTATATATTCATTTTTTCCATTAAACATATTTAAATAAGCAATTTACAACAAACATTTTTTGTTTTTTAAATGATAACACTTTCACTGTGACACTGTCAAAGTATAAATCTGCTTGTTTGTCAACTTCTGGCTCAGCCAATGGACTAATTTTGGATTCAAATTTTATTCATGCTAGCCGTATAAGTTATATTCTGATTGTATTTTAGTTCAATGTCACAAGGATGTTGCAATGCGTACAAATAGACTTCATTATGATCCACAAAGCTGTCAATCATCCCGTGAGGAACGCCTTCAGGCGAACACGGCTATTCTTGACGCGCTTCACTTTATTTTCTGTCCATCTGAAACATGAAACATTTATAAATGTGCCCTGTAAAAAAATGAAGTTGAGTGTGATTGCCTTTTATTTAAAGTTGGTTCAACCTTTTTTAGTTGACTTGACAATAATTTAATTTGTAAAATAAGTAAAAAAAAAAAACAATACATGAACAAAGGAATTTAAGTTGACTCTAACTAGTGGATTAGCTGAGTTAACTTAGAAAGTTGAACGCGATAGGTTGCCTTTTTTAAGTTAGCTCAACTATTCTTTTACAGTGTGTGAACTAATACATGAAATTTGGTACTTTATTTCCAAACCTAGGGCTGTCACTTTACGTTCGAAAATCGATTGCACGATCGATCGGACCAACCAACAAAAGATTCGAAAACGAAAATAACGAATAGATTTTAACAGCCTTTTTTTATGTGTGTTAGGTGGCCAGATCAGTACAGGACACAACATGAAGGATGTTGGAAAATAACAATGTCTTTTCTGTTAACCATAAGCTTTTTAATATTCGCTATTAATTCAATGCAAGTAAACAAGCACGTCGTTATTTGTTGCGCGTGTGTGTGTGTGTGTGTTCAAGTAAGCCAGAAATGTGCAGATTCTGCAATACACTGTATTTAATATATCATGAGG